ATTAGGATCATTATATCCACAGTTGTAGTCTTTCAGATTTAAAAAAAAAAATCTTTCTGTAATCATTCGTCTAAATTTGTTGCTTAAAAAAACATCAAAATTATGTTAATTTGTCCTGTCATGTTGTTCCAGGCAGAATTTAAAAATATTTCCAAGTGGAAATGAAGAAAAGTTTTAATCTGGTACCACAATTCTTGTTGATGGAATTGGAAACAGTGGGAAACATTCACTTTGAAGAAGTTCTATCAAATAATCCATGGTAAACTTTTAAAGATACTTCAAACTAGAACCTGTTTCTTATGATTCCAAGTTAATATTTTTTAACAAAACAAATTTATTACAAGAATCTGGAGTATTTTGAAGCATCAGTGCGCCACAGACTCCATTTGCAGATAGCTGACAAGAAAGGAAACACTCTCTCCCCTCTCCTTCTCTTGACGGTGTACTAGGCTGAAGCTTTGAGCCCACAAAGACTGATTTTTTTTGTTGCCTTTATTTTTTTCTTACCTATTTATGAAGCCCTTGATTTTAGAAAAGGAAGATAAAAGAATAAGCAAGCTATCCAATTGCTTTTTAACAACAGTGATAATGATTATTCTAAGTTCCTACACAGCTTTACTTGTAAAGAAGCATTAGAAGTTGCTTACATAAGCTTTATATGAATAACCTTGACGCTCAGTTGAGGGGAGATTCAAATTTAGCCTGGCAGTATTTCAAGGACTGTTTTCTGGTTGAGTACTCCAGGCTTGTCCACCTCAGGTATGCCTTCTTTTTGTGTTCAGGGATGTTTGTCAGAGCTGCAGGTAGTTCTGTACTTACAGGTTGCATTTGAGGTTGTTTATAAATAGCATTCCTCTTACTTTTAATGCCACTTTCTCAAGCCAAGGATCTTTTTGTTTTGGCAAAGAGACATTAATAAATGACTCTTGTAGGGATGAAAGCCAAACCAAAGGTTTTTGGATGATTAATCTTAGCACACAATCTTTTTGAGAAAGAGCAATATTTTTATTAGTTGCAGTAAGGATTTTGACTGTTATATCTTCTTCTTTTTCAAGAAAACTTTCCATTGATTGAAAAACTGGAGAACCTACTGCATTTCTAGGTTGGTTATATATAATAATCTTTAAGGAATCTTACAGTATCAGATGGAAGTATGGGAGTTTATTGTCTTCTGAGTCAGACACAGAGAAAATGAACACATATTTTTTAAGTGATTTGTCTTGTGTACCACAGGGAATAGGTGAGCTTCTGCCCCCATGTTTCTGCCTGGCTGGTGAACTGTCTCCTCTTTCTCACGTTTCACTGTAGAAACTCTTGTAGGTTCTTGCAAACCATGCTCGCTTTCTGCATAATTGCGCTTAGTATAGTGGAACTGCTCATTTGCAGAGTGCAGCAGGATTTAAATAGATTTTAAATATGACAGTGCAAATAGAGAAAAGGAACATAATGAATCACATATGATTAGATATTGATGTTTGATGCTTAACTTTGAATGCAGCATTTGAATAAAATAAGGTAAATTTATTTGTCTCCATCTGGGAGAACAGAATTATAATGAAATGACACAGGCTAGAGGTATTGCTTGTGATTTTTCTTCTGAATAGGAAACAGAAGAAAATCATGTAGATAGCACTGAAAAATTCAGTGCGAAACAAGAAGGAAATATTATTAACTTAGTGCTCTCTTCTGTGCCTTTCTGCACATGGGTTTAGTTCTTCTTGTTATATATTTCAATCACTATTCTGTACCTGGGACTTCAGAGCATACAGTATCATGGGAATGAAAATAAATCGCATCTTAGGGTGCACAATCAAATTCTGAGGCTGAAATTTAAGGAGAAGTTTCAAGTATTTCTGTAAAACGTTTTCACAGTAGCAGAGTAAGTGCTTAGGTTTTAAGAGCTATTTAGTGTATCATTGGCCTGTGAACAAAGTTAACTTTGTGATTATAAGAACAGAAACATTTTGCAAAGCATCAAATAATTTAGGATTATTAGAAGTTTTACCCAGATAGAGGTGACTTGAAGTTCCCCAAAGTCCCTGTGCTTGGTGTTTCTATGATTGGCTCTTGGGCTTCAGAGGTCAATAGCTTGGTAGAAAATACCAGGCATGAGAATTGGTTCAGATTTTTGCTGTTAGCATCTGGGTCTTACCTCATCTGTTCCTAATCTGGTTGTGAAAACAGAGTAAATATTGTTATGAGTGGCCATATTTCTGAAAGTGGAAAGCAGAAGTAGATGAACAATGAAGAAACAAAACAAATGCCACCCAGATGTATACACATCTGTATTTCATCTGTATCATCAGGACAGTCACAAGGTGGATTTGTACCCACGCAGATAAGTCTCAAGATTTTCTGGGCAAGTCTCAACTTTGAAATTTGTGTGATTGTGCTCATTTATTTCATTGCCTTCCAAGACTCAGGTTGAGACTTGTGATGCAGCCATGATCTTTGTCATAAGTATTGGGACACATCTGCCAAAAGCAGCTTGTAGAACTGTGTCACCAGTGGAGCAATGGTCTTAGGATACTCAGTTGTGTGCTTGTAGCTAAGACAGAACCCCCGTTGAATCCATTTCTTTCTTTGCATACTGAGCAGTTGGCTGACTTGATATGTGTGACTGTATTGTTATGATTTTAGTACAGTTAATACAGTGTTTTTCATCTTTTTATGTGCATTTACTATGTTTATATGTATGTGAAAGTTTGTTTTATACATATAAATGTATGTGTGATTTCTGGGTGTAGAAATTAGAGCTGAGAGCTTGGAGGGAGCTGGAATACCTTTTCAATCTTGAAAGCAAAATCTTATCTCCCTGAGGGACAGCAGGTACTCTCTGAGCTCAGGACATTTTAGCTGCTAAGATCAAAACACATTCCCTGGGATTCAAAGCATGCCCATTCTGAGATACAGTATTTCAGTTAATGGCATAACATGGCTCAGCATGGTTTGTTTTTGGGTTTTGGTGGGGTTTTTTTTTGGGGGGGGGTGTGGTAGGGGGTTTTTTGTTTGGTTTGGGGGTTTGGGGGGTGGGGTATGGTTTGACCCAGAAACAGCATAGCCACAAGAAATATTCAGAGGGGGGCAGAGATGGTCTTGTGGATCGTACCACTTTCAAATTTTTTCCTATAAGCCTTTAGCCAAAAGTTATTTCTGCCCATAGCTGAAACACCACTATTGAGCTTCTAGTTCATTCCAATACAACGTAAAACAGATTTGTTCACCCCTTGCTACTCTTCACTTAAAGCTGGAAACACAAAATGACCCTCACTTACAGCTTTACCTGAAATCATTTGAGGTAGTAATCTGTATCAGACAATTCAACTACCCACTTCTAGCAATTTTTTTGACCCATGGGGAAGTCAGATTGGCACAGCTAATGATTTTAGAAGCTCTTTTCATAGCACCTGTAGAGAACAAAACTTTTCAGGAAGCTCCCCAATGCACTCTGTATTATTCTGGTAGGATATCCTCCAGGTTGTATGAAAAACTGTCTCATTGTATTAGCTCCTAGTATGGATAAGCCAGATCAGCTCCCTTCATCTGTAGTAGAGCCCATTCCAGTTGGTGATAGGCAGTTTATGCATCTTCCCTGAGAAGCAACTATCAGCCCAACACCGTTCTTAACTTGAAACCTCATGGTCTGATGCTTATTTTGGCAGAGAAGTCCAGCAATAATTAATCAAATCCTCATACTAACCTGCTGGTGTTCAAACTGCAGTGTTGAAAATCACCAGAAATGGCATTCTTATCAAAAAGAATTTCAAGAAGAAAATAAGTTATCAACAGTTTTGTAGCATTTGTATGGGGTTCTGGATCTGCTGTCAACATTTATTGTATTATTCTCTTTCTTCCCATGCTATTGCTACCTGCCTGCTAGGGATCTTTAGCAAAGACAAGACTTGTGGTTTCAGAGGCAAATAAATAACTTTTTTTTTTATGTAATACAGAACATGGAGACTACTCTTACTGATTGTAAAGAGGCAGGGGAAAAAAAAAAGTCTTGCAAGTGATCTCATGATTACTGTGAACATCAGTATTATGGAATTTGTGTTAATTATAGTCTGTTATCCTTAGTAAATATTGTGCAATGCATAAACTTTATATGGTCAGAATGTCTATTCTTGTCCTTTGCCTGCTTTTGCAACAGCATAATGAAAACCTGGAGCCTTTCCCTATTTCTTCTCTTTGGAGTTTCTTAGTAAGAAAAGATGGAATCTCTCTCTTATGTATGCAACCCTGAATTGCCCGTTAAGGAAAAGTAGCTGCTACAAATGCTGGAGAATATTTTCCAGGGTCTGGAAGTGCATACGGTATACTACATTGTGGACAGAAGAATGCTGTTGTTTAGTAAAGGATAGCACAGAAGAGAGCAGGCAGAAAAGTGCTGCTCTCTTTTCCTCCCTCCTTTCATCATTTTTCTGTTCATCTTTCTTCTGTTTTCTTCCTCTGTTCTCATTACATTTCTTCATGTTACCTCTGCTTCATTCTTCACATCTTTATGCCATCTGTGGTAAAGGCATGATTAATGCTTTCCAGTTTTTCTCATCATCTTCTTGTCCATTCCTCGCCCTTTCTCTTTTTGGTGCAGATTGTCTCTTCTCACTCACCACTTCTCATCAGTGCCCCCCACTAGAATTTGCAGGGACTAAATTTAATCCTAGTCCATTTATCTCTGGTATCTCCAGATACCTAGCCCTAAACGTAGGGTCCCTCTGGCATGGATCCTTGTTGTCAGACCAGTCATCACTGTAGAAACTGTCAGTCCTGTCCCAGTGACCCCATCCATCTCCAGACTGTAAAATAGCCAGACAGATGGAATATGTTATTTCATGCTGAGTAAGAAATTATGAATAGAAGATGTATTTTCACAGATTCACAGAACAGTTGAGGGTGGAAGGAGCAAGGAGGTCACCTTGCTCAACCCAGCTGATCAAGCAAGGTCACTTACAGCAGGCTGCGCAGGACCATGTCCAGACAGCTTTTGAATATCGCCAAGGATGGAGATATTTCAGGTAAGGAAGTTTTCTTTCTGACTTATGAAGGAAAAGAATAGAAAGTAGGAAAATTAATTCAGGGCAACTCTTCTCTAGTCCCCATTGCTCTCCTTTTCTTCTTTCCAACCTTTTGCACACCTGACTTTCTCTTTTTGCTCTGAGAAGAGATCAGATTTTTGGGTGGCAAGATTGTATTTTCAAATATAGTACCTATTGTCCTGTTTTGCTTTATTATTGTTTATATCATGCTAGTTTGCAGAGGTCCCACTGAGATTCCTTTTCATGGTGTTAAATGCTATATAAGCATACAGAAAGATGGGCTTTATCCCACAGAGCTAGCAATCTGATTTTCTCACCCGTATCTCTCATTCTGTTGGAATAATGACACCACAAACTATTTTCTTATTCATTATTCTTTGCTTTCCCTGCGTACCATCCCTTATCATAATTCATGGCTATATTTTCACGCTGCTTAAATTTGTCTACATTTTTAAGGGATGGTCTCAGTCAAATAAAGATAGTTGGCCCTTGCTTTAATCTTTGCAGCAGTCTGACAGAAAAAAAAAGCTTTTCTTCTCTGTAACAGACTAAGCATATGTGAATGTCCCAGAACAGTTCCTGAAACAATAAGCTAAGGCAGAAGGCAAAAACAGCAGTGATCCTGAGAAGTCATTCAAGCATGGTAATTCAAAGTTTGGAAAGATCTTGTAAAATATTTGCTACATGGTTTGTAGAATTGCTGTTACAGAAAGGACATTTTGTAAATACTGTAGATGGCCATGAGATGGCATATGCAGCCTTGAAAGGAGACTTTGCTGAAATATGTCCCAGTGGCATTTCTGCATATTAGAAAGCTCCACAAAAGGCTTGGGCTACTGGGAGTAATTCCCAGACAGGAGTTTGAAGCATCTATGAGAGATGTCCTCATGTGAGAAATATTTAGGTATGTCTGATCTTTTCTAGATAAGCGATGAAAGGCACAAATATATTGGGCACAAATCTGTGTCCAGGACAGGGCATGGAAGGGAAAAATAGTCATGCTGTGTGACTTGGTCATTGCAGTGGCTTAGGACTGATCACATTTCAATGAAATTTAAAAAAAGTATAGAAGTCTGAAAGGTAATTAAGTATTTACGATTTTTGTAGAAATGTGGCTTAACCTGAATTAGGACACCTCTCTTCCCTCTCCTCCTCCCCACAAAGAAAAGAGACATTCTTAGCTTTTCTGGGGTTCATTTAGCACCAGCCAACAGGGCAGTCAGCATGAACTTATGGCAAGTTTGTCAGCCCATATATAGCTTGAGACTAGCCACTGCACATACTACCTTTTGCTTGGCCTTGGTGTCGCAGGGAGCTTGGGGAAGCTGGGTTTGCTGCAGTATGGAAGAAAGAGGTTGGAAGACACAAGTCCAAAGGATACCTGGCCTCACAGGTTCCACTGTTTATGAAGTTACTTGTAGTTCTGATTTCACTGGCTTTAAATATTAGCCGGCTACAAATGTTAGATTTCACAGTGTAATCTTTTTTGCCAAAGGATATTTGTTTCATAAAAAACATAAAACCAGAATCATAAGATATATAAAAATACATATTTTTATTAATATGTATTACATACATATTAGAGCATTCATTTGCCAGCCCAAGATGTAGCCTGCTTGTTATTACATTAAGCACCACTGTTGTATTATCCTGTTTGCACCCCCAAGCTAGAATTAGAAGCATTAAGTGTCTTCTTCCCCTCACTTAGGGAAAGCAATAATTGCAAAAGTTTTCCTTGGCTGCAGTGCTCCAGCTTGTGCAATGAATCCCATCTATCAAGTCAACTACCCAGAAGCTAATTCAGTATTTAGGCCATGGAAATGCCTAGAAAGTGATGCATCTAGTTCTGGCAATTGTATGTATGTATTTGTAGGCACTTGTTAGCATAAAGTTAAGGTTAAATTAACATTTGTATTCTAAACTCATCTTTGACTTTGGGTTGTGTCAAGAGGTTTCATTCCTCAGAACACAGTCTCTGCTCAGCTGAAGTGCATGTTTTGAAAGGCAATAACAAGCAAGAAGATCCCTCTTTGAAAAAATATTTGTGCTTGTTTAGTTCACAGAGTGAAAGTGAGCTGTGCCACACTGCTGTTCAGCCATTAGTCCACACTAAAAGTAGCTTACTTCATGCAGTTTCATACCCACTCTTTGTACAGCGGGATTGAGTGAGTGCGGCAAAGGGCAATACCCATATACCACAGAGGAAATCTTCACCTTTAAAATCCACAGCCTTTATCTTTAAGCAAAATAAAAATGAGTACTGAGGAAAAATACACTGTTATAAGTAACCAGATTAAATCTGTATCATGCATATCCTCTGAGTGATAGATGCTGCTTTACCCTATTTTTTTGCAAGAGAACAGAGTGGGAATTGAGTAATAATTTTACCTGTTCACTCTGATATGCCCTCCAAACTTCCAGATGCTAACAGGGAGCAACATCTGTCTCTTTATAAAGGAACTGGGATTGTTTCTGGTTTTTTAGAAGGGAGGAAATGAAAGCTAATTTGGAAGGTGATTACACCATAATATGATGGAGTAGTTTTGGACAGTGCAGCAATGAAAGCACTGCAGGAGAGCTGTCGATGCTCTCAGGACTAAGGTAGTCTTTGACAAGCTGCGATCTTCATGCTGGAATATGACAGTTGCTTATTATACATGGGGTATTAGATAGCCAGGTTAAACTCCTTCATTAGCCTGTGTGAGTCTGTGTGGCAAAGAAGGTCTAATGGCAAAAAGGAATAAAACTGATGCATCTTCATGGAAAGAGATACTTTTGACTTATTAATTTTCTGAAAATACCAGACTTAGCTAAAAAACAATATTTACCCCATTTCCACCACTTTAGAAATATGGGCTTCCTTGGAACAGAGAAATTGTGGCTGCAGCCATTGGCATTGTGAGTGGTTTGTGTTTGACCATGAACTGGTCCTGCAGAATACACTGCTCAGATTGAGTACACTTGGTAGGAACTTTGTTTTTCCTACTGTGATATTAGAAGGCAAGCTTTGGATTTCACAGGTCAAGAGAAAAAAACCAAGTAGGTAAAATTAAATTCTGTTCTACTAACACAACACGACAAGCCCAGGTTTAAGGTTGATTCTCGTCTGTCCACTCTGTCAGAGCCAGATAAAACTTCTGTGGAAGTCAGTGAGAAGTTTTCCACTCATTGTAGTGAAATTTGGATGAGGCTCTTATTTTGTATGTGTAAAAAGTATAGCAAAGAAAGCAAAGATCCTCTAAGTTTCAACAGATTAAATGAAATGCAGCTGAAAACTAAGTCCTCTGTCACTAAGAACTATTTTATCTGGGGTACCATCCAAAGTAAAACTGAGTATTGACTGTGCAAAGGATCTTTTTTTCATGGGGTCTTGCTAAGTAAATGATCCTTAGTTGTTTGATTTAAATTGTGAGATGTGCAGTTTTGAAAAAAAAGAAAATATATTTTCTTCTCAGCTGGTATTCTGAACAAGTATTTTCTTGATTCCTTCTATTCATTTTTACATGCATATAAGGCTGCTGTTTCACTCATCTAACTTCATAACTTGCTGCCAAGGTAGAAGGGCTCATTTCAGACTCTGAGTTACTCTGTCTGTTAGAAACAAGAGGGTATGGGGAAGCGAGATGTTCAGCTCTGGGGAAAGGAAGGAGAGAATCGAATTCACTGATGAGTCAGGTCTGCCTGGTTCCATGGTCCAGTGTTAGGCTGCTCTACTGTGATTCTTGGACTTTGAGAATTTCAGTGCATAGGTGTACTTCTTTTGACTCTAGCCAGAGTTCTGTGTCGTACAAAACAACCCATACAAGCAAAAACATTATGCAATGCTTTGATTATGAGTCAATTAAACCCAGTTTCTAGCAGATCTGTGTTACAGAAAGAGATTTCCTGACTTGATTGCTATTAATTTCCTAATCGAACTTCTCTCATTTTATGCTCAGTATTAAATTTGTTATTTAATTCAAAATTAGAAAGCTTACAAATTTCAAATGCCTTTTATTTTATATAGCTCAAAAAACAGTGTTGCTTTTCTACGTGCAATACAATTGTGGAAGAGGGAAAGGAGCCAACAATAAAGGTCAGGCCTCAGATTGCTTCCTTAAATTAAAAAAAGACAACATTTTCAGTGACTAAGGCCAATATTTAGTCAGGTACAGGTGAGGTATTGCTGTCAAACTTTCAGTAAAATAAATGTATTATGTAATTGTTACTTTATCATTCAGGTTGGCCCATGACCTAAGCCAAACACAAAACTTAAAAACTAGCATTTCCATTTGGGCTCGATTCTGATGTTGCTTACATTTCCTTAACATCACTAGAACTTGTGTTCCTCTGCCTATCAGTTATTATGCAATGTGAATTACAATAACTGGGCTGAATACTAATTGCATTTCCTATTGTGTAAAGGACAAGTAATTTCAATGAAAAACAATTTAAGAAGAATGCATCTGAGAATAGGACATGAACTAAACTATCAATCAGCCTTTTTATGAAATACATGACTTCATGCCATTATGCCAGTTGTTCTTGAAAATAATTTTTTTTTGTCAGATTTGACATCACAAGAATGTATCCTAAGGAAAAAAAACACATCAAAACTGTAGCAGGCTTCAGATTTTAGCTTCAGAAATACATATTGTTATAATAGCTGCACAGAAAAACACCTCTTCAGGTGGACATTTACATGCATAATTTTGACATTGCATTCACATGCATAACTGTTGTGTGGCACCTTCAGTAGCCACTTTTTCTGATGAAGTAGCCCTTCTAAATATCTGATACATGAAATGGTGAAATGTTTCTGAACTGTCCCATTTTTAACTCTAGTTTGTGAGATGGTGTTATTTCTTATACTTGATGGTTATGTTTTCAATCCCATTTTTTTACAGTTTCAAATAAACTTTTTCTTTTCTAAAGCTTATTTAGAAGAAAGAGGAAAATGAGTTAAGAAAAAGGAGAATAACAATTCTCTTCTTATTTTACCAAAGTGCTATCTTTCCGGTGATCTGTGTTTGCAGTGAGGTACTAGCAATTCTCATCTCACTTTGCCTTTTCCTAAGGATCTGCTGCCTGTCTCTGCTCGGCTCCACTCTTCCCATACTGGTCTCTCAAAATGGAAGGGTTGCCAGTTCCTTACTGTTGGCAGCATCTGTTCCCTTCTCCTGTGAACCGATTGACTGTCTGACTCACCATCTTACCCAGGTCACTTTTACTTCAGGGAGAAGTTAGAGAATAAACAGTCTTCAAATAAGTGAAAAAGAGTCATCATAGCCTTTCTTGTCTTTTCACTATTTCACATTAGTTTAGATTCACATTTTATAGCCTTCTTATGGTTTACCAGTAGGATAGTATTTGTATTTGCACTCCATCAGTTGAAGCTTTTTCATTTTAAAGGCGGCCATGGAGTATTACAGAATTTGGCTGTGTGTCTGGTAAAATTGTCATTTCTGATCTACTTTTGGCCTAGGTTTTGAATTTGAATGGGAACAGCCTGAGTAAGCTGCAGGGCATTTCTAGACACTTCAAAAGCTTATCATCAGCTTTGATGAATTTACTTCCTTAAATAATATTTATCATCTAGTGAGAAATTAAGCTCTAATTCTTCTTTTTTAAGGAACATTTACTAGCATAAATATTCTTACATTGTGGGGTGTGCGCACAAGACAGGATTGGGCCAGAATGCACACAGGGGAACAGAATGGGGGACTAAACTAAGATCATGAATACTGTGATATTATTAGCAGCCCACAGTTTTGGTGCCTGTTGATACTGTCTCCACTTTGAATCGCAGTATTACAGTGATATCACTTTACCACCCATCTGACCTTTATAATGGTGATTTCATTTTAACAAATAGAGTAACACGTCTGGAGCACGTTAGGTCTCCCTCAGCAGACCCAGTACTGAGCAAGGGGAGTCCCAGGCACTGGTTTCAGCTAAGACTATTTAAAGATTAAATGTGTCTGATTACTTTAACCTAAGTTTCTTTTGCGACACTTTTGGCCATGCAACTATTTGCTTGCAGCCCAACCATTTGATGGAATATTTTGATGCAAGCCATAACCCTGTGATCACTCTTGAGGGTGTTAGAGACTTAAGCAAATGGCAGATCTTCAACCTGAGCTGGAATCAGCTGAAAAAGTCCAGGGAAGATATAAATGTCTTACATAAACACACTCCCAACTTCCTCAGTCTTGACATCACACACAACCCATGGCATAAGGTACATATCAGCGCTTGAAATTCCTAGAAAGCATTCTAACCATGACCACAGTCATAAAGGCTTAAAATCTGGTCCTGCACCTTATTAATTCTAAGGCCCTTGCAATGTAAGAAGCCTTACGATCATGTGATGGCATCTTTGTTCTCACAGGGGCTTCACTTCTTTTTGTAGTCACAGCCGAACCAAGTGAATAAGCTGTGTGGCATTTTTGCACAGAGACATCTCTGAGGCATAATTCCTTTTTTTTTTTGCTTCCCTTGAGAATTAAATTTATTGGTGGCCTGTGCAAGATATCAAAAACCAAGCCCTGGCTTTAATTTTGCCGTCTCAGCTGCACTGAATAAGGGGTGGGAGCAGAGACCGTTCCTAGCCTTGGGGATGCGCGAATACACTGTTAGTCTCCCTGTTACTGCATGGATCTGTCTGCAGCAGCACAGCTGTGTTGGCTAGAGCTTTGGTGAGAAAGCCAATACTCAGCCCTTTTACTGACTCTTAGTCATTCCTGTTGCCCAACCAGCTTCTGGAACAAATGTTTCTCTCTGTTCTTTATTCCCTTTGAATTAGTACATTTTAACAATATTTAAAGGGCTCAGTCAGAATCAGCAGAGTTAAACCTTACGAATTTGAGGCATTAAAAGACTCTTTAAAAAGTTTTTTTAATTATCATTTAACACTAAATTTAATATTTTGTACAACTCAAAGTCAGGCAAAGAGAGCACTATCTGAATAGAATACCTCTCCTCTTAAATAATTTGAACAACAAACCAACGCAGGAAACAGAACTCCATTGAGGCACCCAGGAAGCATCCAAAAAGATGCTGCCTTGTCTATTTGGCCTGTCAATTAAGCTTCAATGAATCTTCTCAATATATCCTAAGACATAAAAAGAAATAATAAGAGCTACCAGTTCTGCTCTCTGGTTCTTTGTTGTTATTACTTAGGTTTTTATCAGATTAAACTTTTAATGTTCCTGTGCTCTTTGTCATCAGCTCTGTGTGTCAACATGGTAACTCTTGAGTAGTACATGTCGCTAAACCTGTGCCTCTCCAGAGTTTCTTAGGCATCCAACCACAATGTCTAGTTAGTTCAGTTCAAAGCAAAGCAGAAAATCCTTACTGCCTCTCAGAGGATGTTCTACCATCGAGCTCATAAGTGATTGCATTTGGCTTATTTGGTTGTCAAAATATATCTATATTCCATTCACAAACAAAGACATCGTTATTCATTATGTGAGAAGTGTGTATTTTATATATTACATTTTAAACTAGTGGGCAGTCTAACATATTCTGTATGTATAGGATAGGCTTGTGGTGATGGTCTTGAGGTTTCAGTGACACCTCTAAATCTTTTAAACATTTCTTGTGTGTCCTATGAAGCTTTCTTTGTGTTTTGTAATATTTCTCGGTCATAAATGAAACTCCTAGATCATAAAAACAAATACTAATAAATCTTATATGTTAGTGAGCTTCATAAGTTTAGTAAACTTCTGAGTTAGCCCATGTGACTCCAGAGCAGTTTATTACCATCAACGTCACATAAAATCAGGACAATCAAAACCGGCCCAAAGGTACCTTGTCTCATGTGTTTCCAGCAAACTACGTAAGCAGGGATGACACAGTGGCTCTGTCAAAGATAGTAGCAAAACTCTAGCTCTTGACATCCATGAGATGACAGTACACTACACAGAAAGGAAATGCAAGTCTCTTTCTTGTACGTAAACTATACTGGCAATTTAAAAAAATTGTAACACCTTATTCCTTTCTTCAGGCCTGCCTCATTGCAGCTGAGCATCATTGGCCAATTAAAGGCTCTCACTAACCTAGATGGAGTCCTGATTTCTAATGAAGAAGCTGCAGAAGCATTACAATATATTGCAGGATCAAAGATGACCCAGGTTTGATGTTCTGTTTTGTTGTAACTTATAGCAAACGCTATGGAAAAGGAAAGCTTTAGGAATAGTTCTGCACCTGTTTTTTTAAAGAACATTTCGTTCTCTAGTTTTTGTGAAGGTAGAAGTTTTGTCCTTGCCTCTGGCAGTAGGTCAGAAATTATTTAATGAACACCAATCTTACAAGGATCTTTACTGGTACCAAAAACTATATACTAGCATGATCTTGGAAACAGTCATGTTCAAGTTCTGCTGAATTCAGAATGCAAGAAAGTAACTGTGTTTGCCAAATAGAAACAATGGAGAGGAAAATAGCAGGATAAACTGATAGTTCTACACGCTTTTATAAGTATCTAGTGCCAAATCCCTTGTCTTAAGGTCTTTTCAGTAGGTAATTTTTCAGAGTATTTTATATGCAAATATGAACCAACCCCTGAGCACAAACTTGTTCTGCTTAAGCTCTGGACTATATCCCAAAGCACTCCTGAATCCTAGGCTGTGATTCTAAGCCAACACAGTCAATGGGCTGAATAGGTTGAAACTCAGTATCATGCTAACACAACTCTTATATGGTCACAGCACAGTCACAATGAAACTATGTCTGCTCACATGCTGAGTACGATCATGTCTTCCTGAAAAAAAATAGATAAATATCTTCACAGAAAACAGACTATAGTTAATACAGAGTATTTTAATGACGTCTGCCTTCTCTGTTGTATGCACTGAAAACTCTAAAAACTTGATATGTGCAAGATCTATGGAAGTCTTGCAAACTATTAAGCTTATTAGATCTATGAATTATTATGTCTGCTAATATATCACTTTCCCTTTCCAAGAATAGCAGGATTTTTATGCCATTTACTATATGCTGAGCTGTGAAGTATGTATAGTACATCTAGTTATATTGTATACTTAATACAGTGTTTTCTTTTTTTTTCCTCAGGTATCTCTGTTAGAATATTTTAGGACTGATGAAGAAAAAACTGCCATTCTCAATGTATTTCCTTGCGCTAAAATTCTGTCTCAAATTTGCAAGAACAAGGTGGATTTGCAGATGTGTTGTAATAACTGGTATTCAGTGGTAGGGCTGATGCTGTTTAATGTACTTAGGTTAATACTTAGATGAATATCTGTAATAGTTTTCTTTTGTTGTCTTAGGTTAAAGGTTTTATGCTTTTTGGTTAAAAAAAAAAAATTCTGAACACGTTCAAGTCTAACCAATAGTTACCTTGTCCCTGAGCTCTGAGAATGGCCATTTTCAGATGCCTCACAGGAGGTCCAGGATACCCTGAAGAAGGCATTTAAGTTACTTATTTTGCAGTGCAACTGTCTTTTTAGCAGTAATAGATTTTTAAGACCGAGGGGTACTAATAAGATTCTCTAGACTGACTTTATGCATAAAGCAGGCAAGAAAGCATGACATGGTAATTTCTACATCAATTTCATACCATCTCTTTGAACTACAGCAGACTTTTCAGGTTAGGATTAATATCACCTAACTTTGCTTACGTGCAGTGTAGATAACAACATTTGAAATAGTCACCCTACATTCCTTTTATAGACAGTGCAGAAACAAAAATAGTTTGGGGACATAAGTCACCTAACAGTTTAGAGGGTTACTGTAGGTTGAAGTGAATTGCATCCTACCAGAGAGCCCAACCAGCCACCACAGATGGAGATATTTCTGTTGCTGATATTGTTTTGCTGGTATGAAACCCACTCTTAGTGTTTAAGGATTTCAAGTAACAGTGAATCTACCTCTCATCATTCTCTGTCATGTCTATCTTGTTTCTAATACAAATTTAGGTACTATCAAATTTAATCCACTGGGTCTCATTTTGGCTCTTTCTGGTGTTCTAAAGGAGCAGAACGAGATGTTCTAAAGGACCAGAAGTCTTTTATTTATTTAGCCAAAATCATCCTGCTTTATCTTATCTTAAAGAAACTAAGTTAGGTTGGACTTCTTAAGCATCTCATTATAAAGTGTTTTTTTAGTTCTCATGACATTATTCTAGTTCCTTTCTGAACATGTTTCATTATGTCCGCATGGTTTTTATGTATGGCCTTCTACAAAACTATACAGAAACTTCCAGCAGTGGACTAATAATGATATACCAGGAAATAATTCCACTTGCCTAATCCTACTCATTAGTCCAACAATTAAATATTAACTGACATGTGTGTCCTTGTGGCAACAGTACAAGCTCATGTTCATCTGGTTTTCTGTCATTAGTTCTAGCCCTTTTCAGTGTTCCGGAGAGACTGTCTTTTGTCATGTGAGTGTGAATTTCTCTGTTCCTAGCTACATAATTTACAACTTGTTCTATGCAGAAATGTGCTTTTTAAATAGGGCCATCATGTTAGTCATTATAAAACTGTTGTTTACAGCTGACCTTACTAACATCTTTATGTCATCTCCTAATTTACCAGGAAGAAACTCCTGCTCTCTTTTGGTAGGTCATTGAGAAAAAGAATTCTGAGCAGAACATCAATAAAAATATTCTCTAAAGTGATGATTTTCTTTCTATAGTTAGATTTTGAGATCCATCCTCTAACCAGTTTTTGCCTATTGAACAAGAGTTACATTCACTTTTGGATATAATTATTTTTTATTACATTATCAGACAAAAGATATTAATCTTATCAATACATTTAAATTGTCATCAAAAGCAATTTAATATTCAGTTTTGTTTCCTATGCACCATACTGGCATCTATTAATAAGGCCATTAACTTGTAACTTGTTTACTGTGTTGCATATCAGCCTTTCTCTGATACATAAGGATGATATCAAGCTAACTGACCTATTCTGGCTATCCTATTTATCCTCAATACTTTTATAACTTCAGTTTGCTCATAACCTTCTAGAACTTCCCAAGCATGCTATCATTTGTATAAAATGAATTGATGAGTGGCTCAGAAAGTTCTTCAACGGGTTCATTAATACCCTTGATTGAAAAATGCCTGCTTTAAAAATGTTAACAGGAGTAGTTCCAGTTTTAGATTCTTTTTAGTTATTAATGAAAGTATTTTTTTTATGCATGTAAATTATGAGAATCTCATCATCGTTCTTCCCAAAGGCAGAGAAAAATATGCATTGGAACTATCTTTCTCTTCCGTATTCTGATTGACTATTTTAAGGTCCTTACATAGGATCAAGCCTATAGCATTGCCTGAATTTAATCAGGTCCTGATTATGATCTCTGATTATATTAGCCATCAAATTGACATTATTAGCTTTCATTTTCAGTAATCCATGTTTCTAACCACTGTTTTATTCTCACTTCTATCATTTTTCCTATTTGTCATTCACTTCTGCTGTAGTGGAATAAAAGGGCCTTGGCTTGATCCAGTAGGACTCACGAATATTTGCTTTAGTCTGTAAAATTAAAAGGGTGAAGATTTTTTTAACTGTAAATGAAAAAGCGTGTAATGATGAAGTGTTCAGTGTTTAACCTTCTGTGTCTTTAAACCTCTCCTAACTAGCCTTCACGTTTTTAAGCTTAAGTTTTTGTGTCACTCATTTTGCTCGTGACTGCTTTCAGCATATGAAAATTGCCCTTTTTAAACCACCAAGGCTATATAAAGGACGTGCTTATGAGACACACTTGCTTCTTTTTTCAAAGAATTGCCTCCTAAGGCAAGACAAAGTCCTTAATCTACTTGCTTCATTTAAGGATTCCAGGAATTCCAAATGCTCTGGAAGTATTTCAAATGAGAGTGTCAGTGAAGCTTCAAGAATATTGAGCAATTTTTTAAAGAGCAAGGATACTGGTGGCAAGGATAATGACAGAACCAGACTGACTCAGGAAATTGCAGTCAGCTCCTTTGCATTCTCTCCCTGATCAGTAGAGATTGGCCCTGAGAATTTTTCATTAGAAAATTCAGTAGCTATGCTTAGCTTATTTATTCTGCAATTTTGAACCCAACTTTTTTCTGATGTCAGAAAAGTATAATGTTGAAACCTGTTGAAACATTAGTTCTAGTAAATTCTATAAACATAAATTCTATAAACATAAATTCTCTAATGCATATAACAACACAGTTTTCTAATACTGACCCTTCAAATATACCCTGCCCTAAAAGGCTTAGGCGTATTTCATGTCTAAAGCCAAATGAGCTTTGCCACGTGCATATTGAACTCTCTATACTAATCCATTTCTTGTGATAAGGAAGGATTAAAATTTCATGGAGTTCTACTAAATACCAATATAAAAAACAGATTGGAAGAAGAGAGCTAGTAGGCCTAATTTCAAACCAGCAAACATTGAGAATAACCCTTTGAACATTATCTCTCACCTTGAAAGACTACCTAAAATTATAAACTAATTAAATAGTCACTTGATGAGCAGCAGGACTGAAGGAAATTGCTTTGCCTTAAGAAAAAGCCTTGTCTTTGGGTTATCCGGTGCTTAATCAGGTGTGAGTTCTCAGGGTTTCTCAGATCATTCAGAACAGGTCTCTCCTGGATCCTCTAGTGTCTGGCATTGTAGCTGAGCCAATATTGCAGCCTTTCCTCCACTGGGATTGTCAGCTTATAACTCTCATTCAGCTGCTCATTTTCATGGAATTTGTAGGAAGTCGAGTAATGTTTGTCTGACAAATTCGGCCAAAACTCACCAATAGGTTTAAAAATTAGTGGTAAGGCTAGCAGATGGATATACAGATAGCACAATCACTTTAGCCTTGTTTCCTTAGGAAACTGAGCTAGCAAAAAGCCACAAGAGTCAGTGGAGGAAGATCCAAGGTCATCCTAACCTGTTCTGATCCATCAGCTGAAATCACGTTAAGCTACCCAGTATGAAAGGTTAAAAGCTCCTCTGTCAGTTCAATTTGTTATTAGAATATAGAATAGCTAGAGGAAAACACATTTCTGCTGATAAGCGCAGTGTTTCATTCTGTGTGCATTAGAGAATTCATGTTTAGAAAACTTGCCAGGAAAATTAATGCTCTGGCATATGTCATATATGTTTCGTGACATCAGAGAGAAAGGATTCATAAAGGGTCCAATAAATGCTTTGGAAAATAAAATAATATAGCCAAAAAATGTTCTTTAGTCATCACCAAAGCCAATATAATGGTACTGAATATTTAAGTGATTAATTAGATACAGCCTTGTCTTAGATACAGCCTAGATACAACACTGGATATTTTGGGCCCCTACAATACAATTTGAATTTTTTGATTGGGATTCTGTGATCTTTTCTTTTCTCCATTGTACAGTGATTGGCTAACATACTGTAGTATTATCGGAAAGGGGAAGTTGTAGTAGTCGTACAAACAGGTTATAGACCGGATCATTGACAGCCTTGTCTTTACTGGAAGCTTGCTGCCAGGTGTCTAAAGTCAGATCCTGTGCAAGAAAGTAATTTCACAACCTGGGCAGCAAAATATATGTTTGGTATCAACATTTATTTGTTTCTGTTCAAGAATGTTTCAAAGAAGAAATTTACTGAATTTGTTAATCTAGGATATAGAGAAAAAAGTATTTAGTTGTATATAAAAAGCATGAAGAACTATAAATTTAGGATAAATTCTGCTCTGACTTTGCACTCAGCCTCTTCTAGACTAAATATCCAGCCTTTGTGTTAGGCTGAAATCCTGTTTCCATTAAAGTCCTGTTGCAGAATGAGGATGTGTAAAACAGACTAGCCAATAAAATAATCATGTATTGCAGAAGGATTTAAATTGAACAAAACTATCTAAGATCTAATGCAGACAAGAAAAAAATGTGTATGTTCCAATAGCTTCAACTGCAAAGGTACATTCGGGAGCTGGCATACTTATGTTGTAGAGTTCTTGGTTTTGGAGGAGAAGCTGAACTTTTTTGAAATGTATTAAACATGAGTAGCTCTGTTGTATAATGGGGAAATATCACATCCTGCATCCAAGAAGTTGCCATTGATATTAGTAGGAAATGTACACATAGAAACTGAGCACAGAATAAATAGGTGGAATTAATTTACAGATTAATTGACTGGTCAGTTTCTTTCAATTCTAATACTGAGTTTTATTACAGATCACTGTCATAAATCTGGATGACCAACACTCTTCAAAATTTCCAACTTTGAAAAATTGGAGCATTTAAGATGGGCACTGTTTAGCAACAACAATGTCACACAAAATAGTAGGAGTAGAGTCTTGTCTTAACCTCAAAGAACTCACTTTAGATGAAAACTACATTTCAACACTAGATGGTACTGTATTTACCGTGGTAGTGATAATGCAGGCTGTTAAGCTGGGACACAGTAGAAATGTTTCTTTATAGTGAAATATTATAGAGGGTGAGTTTTTACTTGCTGCCAACAGAGTGAGTTTTTCAAATATTAGAAAATCTGAGCGTATCTTTAGCAGAACTGAAGAAAGGGAGTGAGGCAGAACAGTTATGTTCCAGCAAAATAAATATTTCTTACTAAAATGTGCATATTTATGCTTAATGATCTAATTGATCTAATGATCATTGATGTAGTTACAGCTGGACCCAGTAACACAAACTGTGTCACTTGTAACTTGTTTTACCTTCTGTATCAGCCACCTTTTTCTATTCCAGCTCACCTTATACTAAGTGCATCTTGTTTATTTTTCAAGACATTTCAAAGCTCACCAAACTTACAAGACATAGTGTAAATAATAACCATCTTATCAGCCTCAAAAGACATGTGTTTGAAAATCTGTCTTATCCTCATTACATTGCCATTGACAACAAGAGAATCACATCTTTAGTTAGTTTAAAGAAAGCTTACTCCCTAATAGAGCTATACGCAAGTAATAACTTTGTTTATATCAACCAAGGGGTACATCATTTGAAGGTAAATATTTACTATTTCAAAACTAATTTTTATTACATTAGAAATACAGTGTTTAACCACTTGTTCAAGTATAGAGGAAGCTATACTTAAACATAATTGGAGGTTCTGCCTGTGGGTGCTGCATTCATCCATCTTTACAGTGGAACCCAAACTGATGAGAACCTCAGTCTAACGTTTTTTGATTGATACTCACTCCTGAGAAGGAGGTGCTGAACCCTCCAGGTGGATTGGGCTCAAAATGTTCTGCAGAGATAAACATCACTTATACCAGGTAGGCTAAATCAAGGTTTACAATCCATGGAATAATTCTGCAACTCATGTCAAATAACAAACAACTGCACCTGGAGCAGTTCCAGTTCTTTTCAGCTTACCTGGAATGCGAATGTATGTATTATAAACTTTGTTGGCTGGATTCAGACACTAACTGGAGACCAAGGCCCTGATTCTTATTTATGTTCAGACTCTGTAAAACTGTGTGAGAGCACAAAGGCGTTTAAGGCAATGTTGGTATAGTTTTTACTCACTTAGGGCTTTCTTTGTGGTTTGATGTTGAAAAGTACTATTCATCTAAATGAAGATATCTGGATTTTGTTAAGTCATTTCTCAGTTTTGAGTCATGCAGATGATGGCTGAAGAAGGAGCTGAAAGCAAAGTAGACTGAATGCACCTATATATGGATGTTTTAAAGTTGTATTAATAAACCCGTGCTTTTTTCTACTTAGGGTTTAACTAATCTGATAATTTTGGACATGAGTAGAAATTGGGTAGTCTGGAAACAAGATCACTACCAACTATTTGTATTATTCCATCTTCCCTCTCTCAAAGCCTTAGATGGCATTGAAGTAGTAAGTTATGCTGTATGCAGATTACTGTAACTTCTTTAAAAATAGTTCTTTAACAGATCAAGACCCACCTGATCAGACTTGTTAATATGTGTGTAATCCTTTCATATACTCCATAATACCCCATTGTCTGTTTCTGTCTCTCTTTCATCATTTTGGGGTAGAAAATGCCTTTTTTGTAATAGTACCTAGCACAATAGTGTCCTGGCACATTGCTAAGGTTCCTGAGGCTTTAACTATAATTTTGGAGCTAAATCATTTCTAACACCTATGAAATTAGTGTACGTTACTTGCAAATCTATATTGTAAACTAACTGAGAGAACACAGACTATCTCATTAATCCGTTCCATAAGAAAACAGTCATACAGGTCTGTTCATATAAACACAAAATAACACTTTTTAAGTTCCTTTGATTTTATAACATCTTTAATTCATCGAATTGTAAAATGTTTCTTGCCTATATTGCTATGATAGTTCTAGATCTGCATTAATATAGCAGACATCTCTTCAAATGTATTTAACAGGAACTAACAGAATGAGAAAGTGCAAAAGGTTTGTTTGGGATCAAACTCACCTCTGACGTGATTGCAGATAGACTGGGACATTCAGCCTTCACAGAAAAGCAAGAATTAAATTGGACAGCTTCTAATATCAGGTGCAGTGATTTTCAGAATTGCTTTATCTATTAAAAGTAGCATCTAATATTGTGGATAGAACATGAAAATCTAAATCTAGAATCCATATTTAGCAAATATGCCTGATATTCCCTAGCACTTGTAGGCCAAATTGCCTTGACTGATCCATAAAACAAGTGCAATTTTTCATCAAAATGGGTTGTTTTCCACAGTTACATTGAAGAAATGTTCTTTCTCTAGATGCTTGCATTTTTCATTTAGGGAGTGATGCTGTCTGCACACAGTTTGACAGAAAATGTCTAGAAGAGAGAGGGTGCTGGCTCCAGACCAAATATATCTAGAAGAGAGATTTAATTTGATCAAAACCCATCTGATCTGATTCCTTTCAGAATAAATTCGGCCAAAGTGAGAACAGACATGTATGTATGTGCAGTGCTGCTTCTGCAATCTTCTGATTTCTGAAAAAGCTGCCTTTTCCATTGTAGATCTACAGGAATTTAGAGCAAGAATGACCTGTGATTGGTTGCATGAAATGCATCCTTAACTGAACACCGGTATGTGCACCCAGTGGGACAGTCACTGTTCTGCAACAGAAGTATTTTACACAGCACTAGTCACACTTTTTTGCAGACATCATCCCTGATATTAATCTTTAGGTAAGTATTTCTATGGGTTGTATGTATGTATTTGTCTTCTTGGAGACATATTTATATTTTATTCTTTCCCAGTATCCTGCATCTGTCAGTGAAAATCCCTACCTGATGTAACACGTGAAGAAAATTTTCATGGCACAGTCCACGATCTTCATCTTTTGATCTTAAATAGCCTAAAGGCCTTCAGCAACAGTATCACCATGCCAGGAATATCAGCGTCAATACTCTGGTGGTGCTGACTATGTGCCTTTTAAGGTATTACAATTGCAAGCCTTGAATTCCTTGAAGCAATGTATCAACAGCACAGTTAGGAATTCCTAAAAATTACTTGAGGAATGTCTCCCTGACCAATAGAGTATCCTGTTTCTACCATTAAGTAGTAACAAGTATTTTGCAAGCAGGCTTTGACACAGCTGAGGTACAGAGTCAAAATCTGCGTGGTGCTTTGGCAGGCCTGAGGGTAGGTGGAGAATGGAGTACTCCACCTGAACAGCTGCAGCTCCAGTGCTGCTGGAAAGCAATGAAAACAGCCTAAGAGGTATGGAACTGGAACTTCAGTAATGTGATACAGAAGCAAACAGAGCAGACTGATGAAAGCCCTTGCCTTTGGTGTCAGAATTGAATCAATTGTTTACTACTGGAAAAAGAACTGTGAATTTGTTGTGAGATTTTCATTAGGGTGCTTCTTTCATGGAGTATGTTGCATTTCTTACCCCAAAGCCAGCATGTTATGGATCTGCTCATGCTATATATCTCATTTCTATCTTATTTTTCTGTTACTTGTATTCTAAATCCATGTCTGTCTTTTTTTACTTAATTCAGAGCTGTAGAGCTGGTGCTAGCAGACGAGTTTAGAAATGTCTGTGGCATGAATTTACAGAACAATAATCTCATGTCTTTCCGTGGTTTAATCTTCCTTCCTAATGCCAAAGTGGGTTCATGACACAGTCTTTTCTATTTTTTGTAAGAATATTAATGATAAACTTATTTCCTTTGACTGAAAATATGGTCTTTAATGTCCTTTAATACCCTGTTCATGGGGTTTTTTTAACAACAGCAATCAATCAGCACAAAGCTGATTGCAACCACTGTTTCAATTTTACAGTATTGTTGCAGTAATCTGATCCAAAATCAGGGAAATGCACCAAACTTTTTAAAGCACTTTAAACTGACCAATCATCTTTCTAAAGATCAAATTTCTGAACTAGAAAAATGTAATTGGCGGTTTTGCTAATGTGTTAGCAGAGAAACATTCTGTTTGATTAATTATATTTCCTTTTTACAGGTATTGTGTCTGAACTATAATCACATTGAATCAATACCACCTGGACAAAAGCTCCCAAATCAGGTAACAAACAGGCAGCAGCTGTACTGCAAGGTGGCTTCTCATGGTTATGGACAGGAAGGACTTGCCAAAAAAAAAAGCAAGTACAATCAGCTTTTAAAATATATTTTTATCTCTCCTTTACTCCACTGAGGAGGAAGGAGGTGTCTTCAGTGTCAGTAGCTTTGGATCTCCCTTTATTTTCCCCTTCTAGCTTGAAGAAACCCAGTACGTATGTTTGTTTGTTTGCTTTGCACACATATGGTATGTTTGGCACCATCTAGTTGGCTTTTCTTTCCTAAGTTCTTTATGAACAACTTGTTAGGCCACTTCTTCATCAATCTAACGATACCAGGCTGCTGTCATCTTTTCTTTGGATCCTACTGCATAGGTGGTTAGGCATACGTTGAAGTTTTTTCACCTTCCTACAAAGGATTTCATTTCGAGTAAGGGAACCACCTACCTCTCTCTGGCTGCTGGTTTGATCTGGGAGAGTGTGGACATTTATCTCCGATCAGATTGATCATTGATATTCTGTTTTCATTCTTTACTTAAATTTGTACATTACACTATAAAATTTTAGGAATATAATCAGATAGTGTGGAATATATTAAGATGGTATTTCAGTCCCTTGAGCCTGACCTGTGAAAATTCAGCTGCCTTACACTGCATGGTATTCTGACGGCAGCCACAACCCCTTGTTATAATCAACGAGTTCAGCCAGTTCAGACTACAGTACCTTTTATGAGCATAAAGAAGGCTTTTGTATATTCATCCAAAGTTCTTCTGCAATGTCATGTGTAGTCTAAGCAGTCATTCATCTTGCCATTAAACCTCCCTTCCCTTGCTCCTTTCATAAATGACGTTCTTTTCGTCATCCTCTGAAGGAGGTGGTCGTACTTCTTTCTTCTTCCTTTTGCCATCAATGTTAGATCAGCCTGTGTCCTAAAGAGCATTTTCAAATTACCTTTCAGTTTGCATTTCTCATCTGTGCACTCTTTCAGGACTGAAACTTCCAGGATCTGTCAGGATTCATTTACTTATTTCTGCATGGATGAGGCAACATGCATAGTCAAATCCAGTTTTATCATATCAGACAAGTCTTGCAAAGCCACCATGCAGAGTTCCCTCTATACATTGGTCAAGTTTTATAAGAGTAATAGTGACAGAGCATCAGAGAATCCTGCAAAACCTCGTTGTTGTGTGCATACTTCCCAAGGCTTCACCCCACTCTTCTTGTCTTCATTCTTTGCATGTGCTCAGCATCTGGAGTGTGGGAAAAACATTAATTTGTTTTCACGTTTTCTGAGGAAAAGGTCTATTGGCAGAAGCACACATGGATATGATCTGTTTGGGCTTCCGTCATAGTGTGACAAATTTCTGTGCTCATTTTGTTTACCTGCTTCCTCGTGAGAGATGAACATTCTTTATACAGACTAGGAGCTCATAAAAGACTTGAAATAATTGTTCAGTAACTGTAGGAGTGCCCCTCTTGTTGATGGGAGGGATTTTTTTACACTAATGCCTGCTAGTTTCCTCCCCTTTCCCTTTCTAAATATTGACAAATTTTAGCTTTCTTGCACACCACTGAAACTTGGCTGATGTTCCCCAACTTAGTGCAAATCAACATAAATATTCCATGATGTTTCTCAGCCAGCTTTTTCAAATGTGACTTACGCAGAGTCACTGATTTAAAGACATCAGATTCTAGCTCAGTAGCTGCTACTTAACAACCTTTACGTCAGTACTGGAATGGAAATTATTTCAGGATTACTGTGTGATATGAATAACATTGCCCTTTTTTTCCCCACAAATGCAGCACAAAAGTATTTAGTGAACAACTGTGCTTCATTTCAGGTTTATTGATACTTCTACCATCTTCAGCTAGTAATGATCCAATACCATTGTCAGGATTACTTTTGTTATTGATATACATTCAAACTCTTTCATACTGTTCTTAATGCCACAAGCCATTGATGTCCCCTTATGTGCATTTGCTCTTTTCATCAATTTTTTGCACGTTTTTACTTCTTGTTTTCAATTTCTTTGTTTTTCCATTTATTACGGCTGCTTTTAATTTCCCACTAAGTGGATACTGTCTTTTTAATGACTGTTGCCTTCTTTCTCAATTGTGAGATATTCTAGGAACAAAAATGTTCTTAAACCTTCCCCAGATCCTCTTGACACTTTCTTCAGAAGTTGAATTAGCTCTTGATTTTTGTAGCCTTGTGAGATAAGCCTGTGTAAAGCATAAAATATACATACTACATATTTACACATCTTAACACAAATTAATATTACATATTCACATACAGTTTGGATATTGTCTTGTTTGTGATGTGTGAATGTAATCAAGTCACTAGCTGCTCAGCAATCACCCATATTTAGTGTTTTTATGGAAATTGAGGTTGCTAAGCACATTGGTTCATTAGCTGGATCGTAAGGAAGAAGCAAAGCCAAAATTAGAACCCTTTTTTCCCTTCTCTTAACCTATTAGTTCATGCTACCTAATTACAGGTCAGACATAACAGAAATTAAGCTTTTACAAACAAATTAGTAGAACAGTGCATGCTATTTTATTTTGCCCTGTTGTCATTCAGCTGTTGTAAAAGTACACCCAAAGTTTGCCAGAAGTATTCTACTAAATCTAGCAGCTGTTTACAGCTGTTTTCTTTTCATGTCCTCAGACTTCTGTGAGCAGAGGAGGGATTTTTTTTATTTGTTTGATTTCCATGGTCTGGATCCAGAAAACTTGACCTAGCTTCCACATAACAGAAGTTTATATGTGCAGTACTTCCACCTCATAGTAGTGGATTTGTTTCATTTTTCATCAGATTTTTTTAATGTATACAGGTGTAATTCCTATGAAACCTGTTCCAGTGATTAGTGAAATTGCAGTCATCCATATATACCCTTCATAATTTGGGGGGGGGGGGTAAGAAATGCTGAAGTTCTTTTGTCCGAGGAAAATTGTGGCATCATACTCTTGTTTGCTTTATTGGTTTAGGGATGCAGAATTTGGAGAAAACCTGCACCTGATAATGCAGAGTTTGGAAGATCTTCATCTGGGCTATAATGGAATTACTAACATGGCCCAGCTACATCTTAGCAGGCTAAAAACTTGAAACTTCTGTTTTTGTAGAGTAGGTGGTAGCAGCTTTTCTGTACATTCATTCAAGCATTTTACAGTACTTTCCCTATGTCCAGTCTTCACTCTGTGCCTTGAATTTGTGGGGGACAGTCTTCTCTGGTCTTGACCCCAATAGGGATGATACCCCAGCTTTAATTCTTGCCCTGGCTCCAAGATCCTTTGAAACTGAACAGTGAAATTCTTCCATGCTGTGCCACTGTGCCTCACTTGTCTTTTATAAGACAAGGGCAGAGCAGGGTAACCAGCATGTGGAAGATGTATTTGCCAGCTCGTGGCCAGCAGCAAGTTCCACATTGAGGAAATTTCCTCCTGACTATAAGCAATACCAACGATAATGATTGACCTAAGTCTTGTTCCTCAAGATGCCCAGTTTATTTAAGAAGATATTTTGCTTTAAATAGAGATGGCAGATAGATAGATGAGATCAAACACACTGTTGTACGGTGTCACTGAAGTGGTCCAAAACAACATACAAGTAATTCAGAAAGTTCATGAGCTGCTTTTGCTTAAGATAATTTTTTGCTGGAAAAGAATCCAAATCGATTAAAGAAGATTCCATGCATTTACTCTTGCTATATTAGGAAATTACATCAGCCAAATTGAAGGACTTGAAGGTCTCCAATTCCTGCAGGAGTTGCTATTGGACCACAACCACATTAAAATTATTTCACAAGGTTTCCTTGCTAGTCAGAATTGAATATGAGAACTGAACACTTTACAACCTGTGGTAAAATTACAGAAACTCTTTCTGGACTTCAACAGAATTGAAGTACAGTATATTTTTGTTAATGCTGTAGATTCAGTGGGCTAAATGTGGTGGACTGTTTTCAGACAAAATTCATATTTTCTTCTATGGATTTGCCTGAGTAAAATCACCAGTATTTTCCCCAAAATATATACACCACTTGCAAGATTTTTGAGAACTCCTGAAATTTAGTGGTTTTTTTAACTTCTGGACAGGAATCATCTCAACTAGAAAATCTTCAAGTTATTCCCAGTCTTAAGGTGCTCTCAAAACACGGAAATCCGGTGAATATATTCATTTGCATTGTCAAATAAACTAGGTGTGTATTTCACTTTATACACTGAACATTTCCTCTTCATAATCATTAAAACTATTAAGAATTTCTCTATACCCAGGTCATTCCTAAGTATCTGCTATGACTGTTTTAAGGTTGAAAGCTTCATAGTATGCGTGATGATCACATTGCCTCACTGTGCCTGTCTCAGTGCCATACTGTGATCAGAAGGCACTCGTTCTTCAGCATACTGTTCTTCATAGTGCTGCAAGATAAATTTAAAATGTATGTGTTTGCATGAGTATGCTGCAGTGATGGGCTGTCCTTTCAATATTCCAAAGCAGGTCAGGTCTGTGAGAAAGGTCAAAGAATGTTAAAGGATTTCTGAAATACTTGATTTTATTTTTAAAATGGCTCAATAGCAATCTTTTTTGTTGTTTTGCACATCACTCCTTGAAAAAGTCCCGAAGGGAAATTTCAGGTTTCTTTTTTCCAGACATGCTTCTGTTTTTCAATGTAGTACTGTTGGTTTGCCTTTTTTATCCCTGAGAACAAACTATTACAACACAGTAAAGAAGATTCTAGGCTTTCTGATTTTAGGAATACATAGCTATGGGACAGAAGACAGCTAACACTTTCACACAGTAGAAAAGTCTTTCCTGGTAACCATAAACGGACAAGTGGAACTTAGTGGGGCCAAGTGTTTGAATAAAGTTTGTAGGATCTCAGCTTCATGTATTTAAGTATCTTAGCACTGCTGAGCTTTAAAGTAGCATCAAAAGTAAATGGAAACAAAAATATATTTTTCATTATTACTTTTGAGAAAAAATGTGTCTTTCCAAATTTCAGTTGAAAATATAGTTCATAGGGCATGTTTTTATAAATAGACCCTTGAAGATCAGGTGGAAAGCCCAAGATCTAAATGCCCCTTGACTTCCTTTTTCCATAAACCTGCAGTGGCTGGTCTAAAGCAACAGCTAGAAACACAGGGAAGAGAAAGGCAGGGGCACATTGGAACAGTAATGCATATGGTGCAGTCATGCACTCTGTTTTCAGTGGTTGACTCAAAAGAATATTTTTGCTCTTGTGATTTTTTTTTAAACCAACTTGCAAATGGTTATACAGATTTGGAAATGAACTGGCTTCTGAAATGGATGATGAAATGGGGGGAGAAGGTCAAGCAAACTGAATGTTAGTAATGGCAAGAACAGTCATGTTTTTCACAAAGAAAAAAGCCAGAGATTCCTCTTGGGAAATTGCTATTCCAGGGTTTCCTTTTTTAGAATCGCAGGCCTAGACTTCCTCCTGAAGGGGATCAAGGTGGTGGGTTCAGCTGTCTCCTATACAGTGTGGCATTAAGAAGTACATCTCACAGTATTAGTAAGCATCAGTTAGTACCCGCCACTATGGTCCACACTTCAGATAACTTATCGCCTGTCGTCTCCAATAACATTGTATATTAAAATAGAAAAATATTGCTAGCCTTTTCTGTCTGCATCACAGCCTGCATCTCAACACTTGGCCTTCTGTAAGGCTGTTTCCTAGTCATGTCTTTGCAAGGCGCACAGTACAGTTGAATCCTCATATTGTGCTGAGGGACATGAGAAGCTGCTGTGGTCCAGGCTAACTTGATGAGGAAGACATACCATCTGATCCCTTCCTTCACCACAGAATTTAATGAGTGTGAGAACCTCATTGAATTTAATGAGTGTGAGGTTTTCTAGCATTCTGCCAGGAAGATGCCTACTATTTGGGTGTTGTGATACCTTCACTGAGTTGCCTACAATAGGCAATTGCAATACAAACCAAACATTTAAAAATTCTAAAAGACTCATTAGAGTCTCAGGCTCATGTATCTATAGATACAGATGACACCATAGATTTTATTGTTCAGAAATGTGAAATTTACCCCCAGTAGTGACTTATTCTTACCCTGAAGTTCCATGCTGCAGCAAATCCACTCATTTTTTCCAGCAGGGTTTACCCTCGGTTTGTACTCCTGTGCAGTTAAACAGCTTTTGGATGGTCTAGACTACAGGTAGAATGAGGTCATGGGGAGAAATTAAATTTGCAGGTGTGCATTTGATGAACCAAATCCTCATACTAGGTTAAGCAGATTTACTACCAGTGTCATGCAAGTATGTCCATGCAGAACAAGAACATGCATATTCAAAAGTGCCCTACTTTCACAGGGTATCTGTGTCTGATAATTTTTTATAAAAGTTTCAGAGGAACCTAATTCTCTTACCTCGTAATGTTACTACATAATGCAGTATCACAACAATGCTGCGTGAATGTTTTAAACTGTAATTTCAAAGTGCAATATTCACCACTATAACTTCTCTGTCCATCTTTTCTCAGTAAATGGGATTCTTGACACACCAGATTCCAATTTCTCTTCTTGCTGATAGTTACTTTCATAATTATTTTCAACTCTAATTTGGCAATATCATATTGTCTTGTCTTGAAAGATACTATCTTGTCCCATCTGTATCCACTGGAAATACTTTAACACAGATAATATTCTTCATGCATTGCTTTGCCCATAAACCTGTTGCTTTCTGTTAGGTCTCACTGTCCTTTCTCATCAAAGTACTTGTCTCCATCACTGTGGTTCAGTCTTGTCTCTCTCCATGCTTCTTGTTGAGAGTGAGGTCATCTCCTAATGCCTTGAGATGCAATTCCATACCACAAGCTGACCACTGTTACTGGTCATCAACACCCCTTTTTCACTGCCATATTTCTACCTTTGCTACTCCTTTTGTTGAGAAGGGGCTCCCTGGACAAGCTACCTTGTTGTTTTCCTCCAGACCTTGCCCTGAAATTCTCACTGACTATGAAACCAAAAGAAAGCTTCACAACAGTTGGGCATCTGCTGTGACCATTGTCTGTCACACTGACCAATTTTATTGCTTATTATTTTCTTGTGCTCACCCATCTGTCAGTCTGTCTGCATTCACTGGGTGTGCCTCATCTCACTTTACAGTATAAATTCACTGGAACAGAGATTTTTAGTGGGATTCACAGTTAGGTATCCTAAATACAAGAATAACAATAACAACAGCAAGGAGTCAGAGAGGAGGCTAGCCCAGCACGTGTCTCCTACGAACAGAAGGTTCATTGTCTCTATGGTTCTGTTTATCACTGAGACCCCACGCACTGAAAGAGTTTGTTGTCCCACAGCAGACCTGTGTTTTCTGTCTCACAGCAGGAAACTTCTCTGGCGATTTGTTTGATGAACAGAATTCTTTCCTTCCAGCTCAAAAGACTGCAGTATGCATTTTAACCATCAATTTCCCCAGAAGGATCAATAGAGTAATGAGGAGATCTAGTGTCTGTTCCCACTTTGTGTTGTACAAGCCAGTTCTCTCTTCATATCTCAGTTTCATATTGATGGAGCACAGAAACAGTTCTCCTACACATCTAAAACATAAGTACTAAGGATGATGAGAAGCATCAGTACAATCAGTTTTATTCTCCCATCCTCATCAACCTGCCCAGCTTTTCCTCAACCCCTTTGGTTATAGATAAGAAGCACTACCAGTAGACACCTACAAGGTTATTCTACTTCAATTGTCTCCTTAAATTTTTTACTGCCATGATGCGGTCACCATGCCCAACCACACCTGAACTGTTGCTGAGCTGCAAATACTACTTGCTGCACTGGATCTAACCACTTTGCTGTTATCTTATGCTTCCCATAACTATGAGTTACGTCCATATTGTATCCTTGTATAAATTTCTTGGCATAAATATTTTATTGTATAAATAAAGCCCATTACCAGGATATTAGCTTCTAGCTACTACCATAATAAATGCTATTATTTGATGCTGATATTAGTGGTATCTTCACTGTTTTGCCAAATCTCAGTCTTCACATTGATAGTAGGTCACTGCCAAAACCAGACAGGTTAAAATCCATGTACACTTGGGTTCTGTCTCAGAACTTCATCTGTTCAAAAATGTGTTATCACGGATCCGTCTGGCTACATTAATATCTCTGTTTGCAGACTCGGGACCTTAGTAAGTTAGTGAAACACATTTTCCTGCTTGAGGCCACAATGCTTGTATACAGAGTTCAAAGCACTTTTGGATTGAGCAATTTCATGTGTAAATGTTTTATTTCAAAACTGACCTGTGCTTTTATTCGTTGGACATCACTTAAATAAAAACATGGCAGAATGAGTAAAGCAATAGAAGCATGTTAAGACTGTATCTTTAGAGAAATCTCTGTTTTATATTCAGGTTCAGTGAAGATGTTATACCTCATTAGCTACAACAGAACTGAGCCATTTTCTCATTAGATCATTCAAGTGGAACAACACAAAAGATTTTTCAAGTTTGTCAGTTGCATTTTAGTTGTGCTTTTTAAAGTGCTTGTTAGAAAGCAAGAATTGAAACCGTATGGTGTTGTTTAAGCTTAAAAAGTGCTTTTGATCTTAAGCTTCAAAAGAGATTTTCCTAGCAGAAAGCAGGCTAGCACTTTATTTAGTAGGTAGACACCAGAACCCTCTGTACATAACAATATTTTCTTTTTTCATGCTATTCATTAAATTTCTTTTAACGTTGTCACTTCTGAATTAGAGATGATTTACAGGAGGCAATCACTGTTTTCATTGTACTGTACCCAGTTTTAACAAAATTAACAAATCGGCAGAGACTGGCACAGCCTTAAATC